ACACACACACACACACACACACACACACACACACACACACACACACATCATACACCCATGTGTGTATGATGCCAGGATGTTTGTTTTTCTTTGCTTTTACATAAATGGGATCAAGCCGACCATATTGTCCTGCAACTTCTCCCCCATAACAATATATCTTGGACATTTTTTTTATGACCACATATATAGAGCATCCTCATCTGCTGTTGCTTTTCTCTTTTTTCTAATTTCTGCATAGTATTGCACGTGCGAATGTAACACAGTTGACTCAACCACCCCCTTTCCACTCACTCCCTCACTCAGGGTCCCTGTTGCGGCCCAACTCTGGGGGGCGTTTGTGGTAAGTGATACTGCTGCACAGCCCAGGGGACCCCATCCACGCTCAGGCTGCAGCCGCCCCTCCCACCTCCCATGAACAGACTTTTTCCCATGCAAACAATTCTACAACCAGCATCCTTGCCCATGCCTCTTGGTGCACACACACAAGTATTTCTGTGGGTGTTGATACCTCGCGTGGGTGGAAGTGCGCGCCCTGCCAAGGTGTGGGAGGGTGCTGACAGCCTCCTCTGCCCCCATCCCCCCAGCACATATCCATCACTGGCTGCCGCCTGGGCCGCCGCTTCCAGGAAATCCATTGCAAAGATTGAGGACTGTCAGTGGCTCACACACTGGGGGCCATCCAGGGAGTAGATGAAATTGTAGGAGAAAATCCTACCCGGCTCCAGACCGCTCGTAATGGAGACCCCTTGGTGACCTTTCCGGAGAAGTTAAAAGAACACAGGCAGACACACTCACCCTCCATCATCCACCACCAGTCCACCTGCGGGGAGCACAGCCCTCTGTCCTTGGAGAAGCCACTCCTCATTAGCAGGCCTGGTGGGAAGGGGGAGGCTGGTCCAGGGCCCAGGCCGCCGCTGTGCAGGTAAGGAGGCCAGCGGGGGCACCTGCTTCCCTGGAGGGTGAACCCAGTGGACCACAGGGCCCTTAGCTGCTCAAGGTCAAGGTACCTGCCCCCTTCCGCCGCCCCCTAGAGAGACCATCTGGCAGCCGGGCAGCGATCCTCCAGTGATTCCCCTCCACCCAGTCCCCAGGCCAACGGATCCTGCATCTGCACTCAGCCCTCCTTCCTCCCTCTGTTCAAACAGAGGTGCCGGCCCCGTGGCCTCAGTTCTTCTTATCCAGCTTGGCAGCCTTGCCCTGCACCTCCGGGAGGAGGGGGCCTCTGAGCGCAGTGCCCATGAAGGAGGTGCCGGTGGACGAATCCAACATTTTCCTTACCCGGGAGGGTGACCTGAGCCTTTACCTGGTTTCACAGCAGCTAGGTTCATAATGCCTCACCCTCCACCCCTCACCCCCGTTCCTCCCCTTCTTGATTCCACCCACCCACACCCACACCTGGCCCCACACAGAAAACCCAGCCATAGCTGTGAACGTGGGGAAATACGCAATCGTTTTCTGTATGCAGCTGTCTCCCAGCTCTCCAGGCCTATTTACCTGATAATGACTTAAAAAATAACCCTAGCTACATCTATTGGGCAGTGTGCTAAGTGCTTTATGTATATATCTGACTTAATTTTCGCAAACTCTACACAGTAGATACTGCTAAGGATTTACAGGTGGGGAAATGGAGGCTCAGAGAGGTTAAGCAACTTGATTCAGGTCACACAGCTGGTGAATGCTAGAGCCAGGACTGGAAATCAGGTCCCCATCATTCTCCAAGGCTATGAGCTTAACGGTTGTGCTACCCTGGCTCCCACTTACTTCATTTCATTCCTTCTTCTGGGTTGTCCCAAGGACCGGGTTGAGCTGGCCAATTCCCCAGGCTGCCCCCCAGACTGGGGGGAGCTGCGGCTTCCGGTCCCTGGAGCCGTGTGGGTTCCTGGCAGAGGAAAGACCCTCACATCTCCGTGTCCAGATTCTCTGACCCTCTCGTGAGCACACCCAGGCCCCCTCCAGGCCAGTAGAAACTGACAGCCCACCCTGCCTGCCAGCAAACACTTTGGCTGGCCTGGCCAGCTCAGCCTGAGGATGGGGGAACTTCCTCCGGGCAGCACCTCACCGCCTGGACCCAGGCAGGGGCTGGTTTCAGGGCTGCCCATCCGCAAGCAGGCTGGGAGGCGGGAAAGGGAGGCAGCCCCCATTCCAGAGGGGCTTTTGCTGCCCTCGTGTGGCCTGGACACACAGCCCTGCACCTCCCTCCTCCCTCCTCCCTCCTTCCTCCTTGCTGTTATCCAGCCTTCCCAGCTGCCAAGAGCCCACACGCAGTCCCAGCCCTGGTGCAAGTGCCCAGGTTATTTTGCGGCTGAGAGGGCAGCACGAAGGCCAGGGAAATTCACAACCACCAGTTTGTACCCCAGAGCCAATAACATGGATGGAGGTGAAATTTATGTATCTGTTGACCTGAAAAGATGTCCTAGTATATTGCGCTGTTAAAAAAAAAGGGGGGGGGGGGGAGGAAGCAGGTTTTAAAGCTGTGTACAGTAAGAGAGCATTTTATTAATTAAACAAAAGTATTATCTATGTAACTAATCATAGAAAGAGGATATTTGCCAAGATGTTAACAGATGATTTTTGTTTTCTTCTCTTGGCTTATCTGTGTTTTCTATTTTTTTCAATGAACATCAATTACCCAGATAATTTTAAAAAGCAATCAAAATAAACCAATCCCAGACTGATTGTACATCTTCCTGTCCCCCCTACCCCCAACAGCTCTCCAAAAAAGAATCACAGATCCATATTCCTAGACCTTCCTTTCTCTCTCCAATCATTTCCACATCTCAGTCCGCGTGTGTTGGTTGGAGGTGGGGGGAGGATTCCTACCTGCTCCAGGAAGCCTTCCCCTGACTAATGGGAGGTGTGAAGGCTTCTTTGCCCAGGGGGCTTTTTCTCACTGACCCAGCTCTGCCCAAATGCACAGTGCCTGGAGGCCATCTTCCCTCCCTCTGGTGCCTTTTCACGGAAGAGGAAATGTTCTGCTTTCTACTGCATTGTTTGTTCCTGCAGGCTGAGCCCGACTTCCCTGAGGCTGAGATGCTCAGAGGCAGCCCAACCCTCCATCACATGGACCGGAGCCCCAGGGCAAATGGTTCCACTGTCGAGAGGTGATTATGGCAAAATGAAGAGTGAGGGCAAAGAAGTGACAGAAAAGAAAGAGCAGTGCTTCAGGAGAGGGCTATGCTGCCCCTTCCAGAAGGACCCGAGGAAACTAGGAAGGAGATGGGAACGGAGATTCCTGAGCATTTCCTATGTCCACACAGTGGACCCTCCGAAGACAGGCCCTTGCCCCTCACTTTGTGCGGGTGAGGCCACCGAGGCAGAAGAGCACCTAGGCCTTAGCTTCCTGCATCTCTGGTGCTTCACGCCACTGTGTCTCACGACAGAGGAGGCTCCTGAAAAGGTCTCTGGATGGAGAAATTAGCGTTGGTGGGCAGTGTCTTCTCCCACCCACCCCCGCCATGTTAGCCACTGCCCAGGCTCCCCAAGAGCCACAGACACCCCTCTGCTCAGGAACGGCAGCTGGGACCAAGCACTGTCCTGCAGGGGATGGCCCTCTGAGCGCCTGCTCGTTGAATGATGAAGGTTGCTAATGTCATTGTTCTGGCCATCAGAAAGGCAGCCTAGAGGGCCCAGAGAGCTAGCCGGCAACCCAACAGAACCTAGGGTTCAAGGGAAAGGAGAGGACCTTTAGTGTCACCCTGAACCCCCAACTTTCAAATCACATTCCCTGAGGTGGCCATCCCCAGAGACGCAGGAACCAGGCTCCCATCCCTGCCAAGCCTCCACACACAGGACAAATGCAGTTTGCACACCTAATTGGGAGGCAGGAGACCCTCCCTGGTACTCTTTGAGCTCTGTTCCTAGCCACCTGGGTCATCTAGGCCAAGTCACTCCTCACCACCACACCTCCCCTTCTACCTACACGGTGCTGTGGCGTTAAGAAGGGCTTCTAAGGGTGCTGCTGAAGAATGCTCAGCCCCTGGCAGCGTCTCCTCCCTTAATGGGGGTCTGGTAATGAGTTCCATGCCCTGAGCAACTCGGTTTGTGGACAGGTAGTCGAAGCGTGATTGATAGCGACACCCCGTGGACACAATGGGTAACTGCAGTCACCTGGACGGAAGCCACAGGACGACCTTCAACTTTCTTCATTATGTGGAGAGGAGCTGATTGCAATTAATCCCACTCATCACCTTTCACAGGGAGCTGTCTTAGAGCTGAAAAAGAATCCTTCCCCAAACCAGAAAACAACCCTCCAGCCACACATTTCCATCAGCCTCCAGCTAAACACCTGTTTCGTTTCAACTTGTCCCTTTTCAATATTGACCTGATAGAAGTATCTAGTGGCCATGGAGAGTAATGTCAACAATAATATTAATAGAGGAAATATGTAAAGGGCTGTTGACTTTTGCCATGAATTTCATGCATTGTCTCATTTAATCTTCCCAGCAAACCGTGCAGGTATGTGCTCTTACCCCCAGCATTCAGAGGAGGAATCAGAGACTTGGAGCATAAGGGGAAGCTAAGTTTCAAACCTGGGCAATCTGGCATCAGACCCCATTCTCTTTTAAACACCAGTCTGTGCAACCTCACTTCCCCCAGTGTCTACCCACCGTGGTAATCCCTTGAGGCTGGAGAAATCCCAATTCCTAGGGCACTGGCTTGAATCCT